TTGTCCTTTTCATTTCAGCCATTGGAGTGGGTGTGAAGCGGTCTGTCAATGTGGTTTTAATTTGCATTTCCAATGGCCAATGATATTGAGCAGATGTTCCTAAGCATCTTGGCTATTGGTACATCTTCTCTGGAGATATGTCTGTTCAACTTCTTTATCTCACGTTTAAACTGAGTTATTTTACTCCTTTCTTTTCATTTTTCTTTCTTTCTTTCAGACAAGGTCTTGCTCTGTCACCCAGACTGGAATACAGTGGACTGAACATGACTCACCATAGCCTCAAGCTCCTGGGCTGTACTGGGTTATTTTTCTTTTCATTGTTTGTTTATAAGAGTTTTTGACATATTCTAAATAAAAATTCCTTGTCAGATATATATTTGCAAATATTTTTCCCATGTTGTGGCTTGTCTTTTGACTTCCCTTATTTTTATTTTACTTTATTTTAGATAGAGTTTTGCTCTGTTGCCCAGGTTGGAATGTAGTGGCACTATCTCAGCTCACTGCAGCCTCCATCTCCCGGGTTCAAGCTATTCTCCTGTCTCAGCCTCCTGAGTAGCTGGGATTACAGTCACCCGCCAACACACCTGGCTAATTTTTGTATTTTTTTAGTAGAGACGGGGTTTCATCATGTTGGCCAGGCTGGTCTTGAACACCGGACCTCAGGTGATCTGCCCTCCCTGGCCTCCCAAAGTGCTGGGATTAGAGATCTGAGCCACTGCACCTGGCCACTTTACACTTTCTTGATAGTATCCTTTGAAGCACAAAAGCTTTCAATTTTGGTAAAATCCAATTTATCTATTTTATTGTTGTTGTTGTTGTGTCTGCTTTTCCATCTTATATAAGAAACTACTGGCTGGGTGCAGTGGCTCATAGCTGTAATCCCAGCACTTTGGGAAGCTGAGGCGGGTAGATCACCCGAGGTCAGGAGTTTGAGACCCATTTGGCCAAAACGGCGAAATCCTGTCTCTACTAAGAATACAAAAATTATCCGGGGGTGGTGGCACGTGCCTGTAATCCCAACTACTCAGAAGGTTGAGGCAGGAGAATCGTTTGAACCTAGGAGATGGGGGAGTTTGCAGTAAGCTGAGATCACACCACTGCACTCCAGCCTGGGGGACTAAGTAAGACTCCGTCTGGAAAGGGAAAGAGAGAGAAGGGAAAAGAAACCATTGCTTGACCCAAGATCACGAAGATTTATGCCTGTGTTTTCTTCCAAGAATTTTACAGTTTTGCCTGTTACTTCTAGGTCTTTTACTCCATTGGAATTCATTTTTATCTATGCTGTGAGGCATTCTTTTGCATGCAGATATGCACCACTTCTTCAAAGATTGATCTTTTTCCCACCGAATTGTCTTGACAGTCTTCTCAAAAATCAATTGACCTAAATGCAAGAGTTTATTTTTGGACTCTCGATTCTATGAAATTGATCTGTATGTTTCTAATATTTTTTAAAATAACTTTTTCTTCCCGAATTTATACAGAATAAAACATTTGTAAATATAGAAATGCAGGATAAAAGTAAAAGAAACATTAACGTTGCCTTGGTAGAATGAACTGTTGGTCTCATTACTTTACTCCCTACTAAGAGATGTCCATGCCACACCCTTCTTGTGGCCTTATCATGGTGGAATGTACTTTGGGCTTCGTCCATCTGACTCTGGGCTTGGCCATGCAATTTGCTCAAACTCTTGCAATGTCAGGGAATGTAACATGAGCATATGCTTGATGTGTGATTGTGCAATTGGTCCTGCTCTCTTGCACTTTTGCTGTCACTATATAAAGGTTATGCCCTGGGTACTCACTCATTCCAAATGAATGGCAGATACTTGGAACAAATCTGAACTCACTCTGTGATCTGGAGCCCAGCCCAAGATTAGACAGGTCCCATTCAAAACTCAGACACTTGGGCTAGAAATGCATGCCTATCACAGTTTACCACTGAGGGATCTGTGGTTGATTGTTCTGTAGCAATAGCTAACTAATACACCTACCACTTAGAGATAATTTTTCCTATCAATCTGATCTTCTCACCAAAAATAAGACTGTAAAAAAAAATTACATGTGTTTATACCCTCCTGTTGTTTTACTTAACATTTTTTCATGATACCTCATGTTATTAAAAGTTCTTGATTGGCTCATGCCTGAATTCCCAGAACTTTTGGAGGCCAAGGTGGGAGGATCACATGAGGCCAGGAGTTTGAGACCACCCTGGCCCACATGGTGTAACCCTGTCTCTACTAAAAATACAAAAATTAGCTGGCATGGTAGCACATGCCTGTAATCCCAGCTACTCTGGTGGCTGAGGCATGAGAATCACTTGAAGCCAGGAGGCAGAGATTGCAGTGAGCTGAGATCCTGCCACTGCACTCCAGACTGGGTGACAGAGCGAGACCCTGTCTCAAAAGAAAAATAAAGTTCTTGATAAACATTCCTTTTAACACCCACATCACATATTTCCACCTTGAGCAGTTACATATTTCTCTTCACTATTCCTATATTACTTTTACTATTCCAAGTAAAAGTACAATGAATTTTGTTCTCTTTTACATAAATCTTGATCTACAGTTTTCATTATTTCCATGGAATCAAGTTCTAGAAGTTGATATCTTTAAGAAGCTCTTTTATCCAGAGTTCATGGTGCAGCCACTTAACCCTGATTTTTATATTATTACTATTCATATTTCTATTTGGCTAAACTCACATTGTTTTGCTTAAGGTATGCAGACACATTTGATTTCACTTTTTTTTTTTTTTTTTTTTTTTTTTTTGAGACGGAGTTTCGCTCTTGTTGCCCAGGCTGGAGTGGAGTGCAATGGCCCGATCTCGGCTCACCGCAACCTCCGCCTCCTGGGTTCAGGCAATTCTCCTGCCTCAGCCTCCTGAGTAGCTGGGATTACAGGCACGCACCACCACGCCCAGCTAGTTTTTTTCTATTTTTAGTAGAGACGGGGTTTCACCATGTTGACCAGGATGGTCTCGATCTCTCGACCTCGTGATCCACCCGCCTCGGCCTCCCAAAGTGCTGGGATTACAGGCTTGAGCCACCGCGCCCGGCCTGATTTCACTTTTTAAAAAAACTACTTTTGTGAATTCTTCCAGCGTGTTCTATTATACTGCCTTTGGACATTTATATTGTATTATAAATAATGAAATTATTGCTGTAAACAATACAAGTCCCTGCCTCTGTTGTCCTTTATACTTATATGGATACATATAGACAATGTTTCTGTATGAGCATGTGTTTGTTTCGTTTGTTTGCTTGTTTTTATTGGTGTAGTTAATTACAGATCATATAGCCATGAAGGCAGTATGGAAGGAGTAGCCAGATCTAATTTTCTTTATACCCTTCACCATGCCTAGCATAGTGCATAGGTGCCTTCAATGAATATTTGAATAAATGAATGTAAGAAATATAGAGACCATGACCACCATCATGTGGTGGTTCATGCCTGTAATCCCAGCACTTTGGGAGGCCGAGGCAGTTAGATTACTTGAGGTCAGGAATTTGAGATCAGCCTGGCCAACATAGTGAAATCCTGTCTCTACTAAAAATACAAATATTAGCCAGGCATGGCGGTGGATGCCAGTAATCCCTGCTACTTGGGAGGCTGAGGCAGGAGAATCACTTGAACGTGAAAGGCGGAGGTTGCAGCGAGTAAAGATTGTGCCACTGCACTCCAGCCTGGGTGACGGGGAGACTTGGTCTCAAAAATATACATATATATATATATATATATATATATATATATATATATATGCACACACACATATATGTTTATATATATAGATATACACATATATACATATGTGTATCTCTCTAGAGATACACACACACACACACACACACACACACATATATATATATATATGTAGAGAGAGAGAGAGAGAGAGAGAGAGAGAGAGACCATTAAAGCAGTCTTTTAAGCCAGAAAGTACTGTCCTCACAATGATTAATAAGTATTTTTAAAGGCTTCATTAGTGGCAAATATGCTACATGTATAAATAGATGTGCAGGACTTCAAGAAGTAGGCCACATGGTTGATACTATGTCTAAACTTTTCTGGGTGCCTCTTAGCAAATAAATGGATCTCTCTCTCTATTCCTTGTTTTACTTCCCCTTTCCCCAAGGAAAATCACATTTTCAGTTCTGACAATTTCACCCTGATAATCATTGCACCAGTTTCATTTTGGTAACTGCTAAAATGGTCACCTTGGGAACCCCAAGCACACACACTGACTGTACTTGCACAGCTCCTACACCAAGCCTTTCAGAAATTTCCTCCAGGAGGCCCATCTATCATCTCACAAACAGAACCACTCATCTAACCAGGGCAACCATCTTTCTGCATCTGCTCTGAGAGTCTCCCAACTGGCTACTAAAGAGACAGGGAATCCTGCATCACTCATCTCTTGGGCTAAGACTGAAGATCTCCTTCCAAAGGCAACTACTACTCTCTACCTTGGGTCATACAATAAGAACTATTCTTATCTGTTCACACTCTAAGCCATACTTTTTTCTAAAGTCAGCTTTGTAGTCAATTCCCTCTAAATTTCCCATAAGGAATCAAACAGAAATGGTACAAAAGACGGGATAAGCCAAGTAGGTTTGCTGAAATTGAAGCATTCTGAAGACAGCTGGGTGCTACAATGGGTGTGATGTGAGGAAGGTGGTTCACCCACAGACCAACAATGCCATTGCTACAATTTGTGTAGCATGATCTGAGGTGACAGACACTAGCAATTTATCACACCCAGAAACACATCCCCCCACACAGATTTACTTGAGAGTACCAGACCTGCTCACAAAGCAGAGAAGAGCTAAGGGCATTCTCTAAGGGCTGAGAACTGCTGCTCTTGCCTTGTGAGTAGGGAGAGGGTACTCCTCAGGCCCTATTTTCTATCAAATTGTGTGTCAGTGTTGCATAGGGGATAAAGGCACAGTAACTACTCTAGCCAAACAAAGCTATATAAACATAAATAAAACATAAATAAACAGAAATAAATAAAACAGAAATGCAAAGCTTTAGAGTGCCCATAGAAAATTTGATTACCTTGTCACCATGAGTAAAAGTTAATTCCAACTCCTGAAGATAGCAAACCAGCTCTGAAAGAGAGTGAAAATGCAGACGAGACAGTTATCAGATAATGACTATCTGGACAAGAGAGATTCTTTCATTTGACAGCAGTTCAGTTGTTGGGAGTTCCAGTTTGGCTCCTGCATAGTTGCTCTGTACAAATCCTCCTCCATATTTGCTTAGAGAAAACATGTTGCCATCCCATCGTAAAGGAAGCTGCCTGAGAGTTTTTAACCATTACAGCTGTGATGATGAAAGAGTGAAGAACCGCCTCTAAGTTAAAAAGTGCACCCAGAGATAAGGTTCGTTCTCAATGCCCTGCTGCTGCTTCTGATCGCATGGCCACCGCACTTCTCAGTAAGTGGGAATCAAACGCTTCACTCACCACAGAGTAAGCAAATAAATATCTTTCTTCTATGGTATGGGCTCTTACAATACCCTGTGCTCCACCTCCTAATAATTTCATTACACCCAGGGCAAGGAGGAGGGGTTAGGAAAAGTGAGAAACAATGACTTCTAAATATATGGCAAACTTTTAAACAACAAAAAGAGGAAACAAAACTCCTTATAATTCTATTATTATTAGCAGGGACAGAACTAACAATGGTGCTATTAAACTTGCGTTATTAGGCAGGTCATGTTGATTCTATTCTTGTGTTTTGGCTCAGTAACTGAGATGTGCAAGCCCGTGGTGGCAAGGTGACTCATATTAAAACAATACCTATGGTTTTGTTAATTCTTATATAAATATAAGACATTTATTTTGCACTGCTCCAGATGATTTATGCAACTAAAATGAGAACATATATTCTGCCAAGATTTCTTAGAAAATAAATGAGTTTCCAAAATAGGGTATAAGGTTTAATGAAATATCTTAGGAAGTTTCAGAGTTAAGCAAGAAATCTACAAATAAAGAAACAACAACAAAAAGTAGATAACGACACTTTATCTAACTGAAGGAGGCCTTCTGCTTTTTCTTTCTGGTAGGGGTTCTTGAATGTCCAAGAATGTTTCATTTTATACAAAATTTACACAAATTTGCTGAATATATTTCACTTGGTTTTGTGTTCACTAATGTATTTACCCAAAGCAAGGTAAGCATATTTCCATTTAGACAGAAAAGGATGAAATGGAACCCCCCAAAAAAGTAGAAAAAAGGAGATGCAGAGAGAAAAAATAAAATAAAATCTTTTAATATCCATGAACCTAAAATTAACAAACACATGAAAAGTGATGGTGCTTTTATAGCCATGTTGAATAATATCCTTAATACTTGGTCTAATGAATTATCACACCAAACATTTCATTACCTGGTATAATTTCTCTTTTAAGTGACTGTGTCCTCTTTCATGGTTATTGAAAAAGAAATTAATCTATGTAGCTATTTGTTAAAAGTTTGCATTTCCAAGCATAACAAAGTTTTAGAAGTCAAATCACCTCATTTGTTTATATTACTTCAAACACTGCATGGGAAATTTTTAGGCAAGGTACCAAAAGTGGGCCAGGCTTGTTACACACTCCCCAGCCTGCCGCACTCCTGACCTAACTTGTTCCTCTGTTAGGTTCCACCACACATCGCACATTAGGGCTGTGCACTAATTTGCTTCTGTTCCACACAGGGCCTGGCACATTGAGCATCAGTCCTGTGCCTGACACTGTGCTAGATGGTGGGATTGCAGCCAGGAGCATAGACACGACAGACACGGTCCTCGCCATCTACTGATGAGTACTGATTGGAACAAGAGGATTGTCTTTAGACAGGTACGCCCAGGAGCATGAATGTGGGATGACAAATTGCACCATGTGCAACTGGCAGGAAATTGCCATTGGGATGTGTGTCTGTGTGTGTGTGTGTGTGTATTTCTTTTTTTTTTTTTTTCTGAGACAGTGTCTCACTCCGTTGTTCAGGCTAGCTTGTAGCAGTGCAATCTCGGCTCACTGCAACCGACAGATCCTCTGTCTCCAGGATTCAAGTGATTCTCCCGCCTCAGCTTCCCTAGTAGGTGGAATTACAGGCACCTGCCACTGCACTTGGCTAATTTTGTATTTTTTAGTAGAGATGGGGTTTCACCATGTTGGCCAGGCTGCCTCAGCCTCCCAAAGTGCTGGGATTACAGGTGTGAGCCAGCACGCCTGGCCAACCATTGGGTAATTTGTAGCAAACTCCTTCTTCTATTTTTCCAAATACTCAAGGTGGCAACACCATTTCAACTTGGACTGACAGAATTTTATGTCTATGGCCACAACCTGAATTTATGAGTTATATTTTAGGACCATTTTGGAAATTTAATCAAAAGTACAGTAGTAGTAAAAAAATGCATGCATGATAAGTAGTCCTTATTATTCATTTATATCTTTAGAAATGTACAGTTTTTCATTGGGGTATAATGCAATATACCTAGGTAAACATGTCTTTTACAGTGTATACCTTGATTTATTTATTCTTCATCCTCCAAGAAATAACTTCTTTTGCTGTTTATACTGTACAGGATAAAAGAGAAAGTAAATTCTATATTTAAAAGCCTAACAGCATGAATCCTCTCAGTTGCTTTACAATTTCTGCCACTAAGGTTGAGTCTGGAATTAGGTGTCACCAGAGTTGACTCAAAAAGGAATGCCAATATAACTTTGGTTATGAAACAAATGCCCGAGGTGGAAAAATAAGTTGGAAAAAAAAGAGGGGAAACTATTTGTAAGTCTGAACTTCAGTAGAATTTAACCAGTTCTCAAGAACACTGGGGAAATCCACTGCAAATTGTCAAAATTTTACCCAACTTTCTAGAAACACCTATAGGAAAGGAGATTGTGGTTATTTTTTCTCCAACATTAAAAAAAATGTAACACCTATCAGAAACTAGATTCTCAGAGAGCACTCGAGGAATTTTAGATTGACTCAATGAAATGTTACATGAACAAGTAGATTATGATTTCTCTTAGAGATTGAGCATGTATTCCTGATTATTGTAAATAAGCAACATACAGTTGCTTCATTCTGCTTAGTTTGCATCTTATTTTAACAATTTAATGGTTTTCTGCTGCATTTTAATTGGTAGCCATGAGAAGAATGAGTTGAACATACTGTCAATATATATATTTAAGCTAATGAAATAGCTCTGTTCTTGTATAGTGAAATACGACCCAGTTGATGTCTATATAACAGTGTATCTTGGATTAAATAAATGGTCTGAAGAGATTTGGGTTGTTTTGTTTGTTTGTTTGTTTGTTTGTTTGTTTGCACGGACCAGAAGTACTAAGGGCCCACAGAGAGTGAGCAGAATTGTAGAAAACATGGTATCAAATCCTGAAGTTCTAGTAGTACTCAACCTTATGTAACATTTATCTGGCTCACAAAAAAACTGTCATTCTTGGTAATATTTAGACTCTTAACTGAGTACCTTGTACCATCTATAGGACAACTGATTTTTTTCCAAAAGCATCTTTTTTTAATGTAAAATATAACAATGAAACATGAAAAAGTTATCTAGTATTTATGGCCAAAAATTAATAATAAAAATTTTTTGAATGATCAAATTTGAAAAACAATTCTATTCTTAGCAGCTATAAAATCAGAATCCATGACAAATTCTAGGGGAGAGTGCTTGCTTATATAAAATATTCAATTATCTCCCTCACTGAGATATTCAACAGTTTTATTATTTACTTCAACAGTTTAATTGCAAAGGATAAATAGATGTTTATTGTTTTTGCAAGTACTCTTATAACATAGTTCTACTTTGTCTGTCAGTAGAAATCACAAAGGAATATTAATTTTACAGTTTTTTCTGACCTAGAATTCCTATTATTGAAAATTAGTGCAAAATGAGATCATATGTAGTATTTCAGGAAATGCTAACATTTCAAGACATCACTTTCATAACTTCAAGAGGAAGCTATCTTTATTGCTGTTGTTAAGGAATTTTTACCTTTGCTTCTCAGGCTTAGTAGATTACTAGAGTTTTCCCTTAATTCATTAAAATTCTAACTTGTTGAAAATATTTTAAAAATTATAGAGTACCTGCTATTGTCATCATCTTTTTTTTTTTTTTTTTTTTTAATTTTCTACATGGTGTGAAGTCCTCAGAGAAAAAAGAAACAGCATTTTAAATCAAAACTGGCACAGTTCTGATTAGCAATACTTAAGTTTATTTGGAAAGGAATTGAGTGATTTATATGCCAATTCTTTCCTGCTGTTGTGGCACTTTACCAACTTCATTAGTAAGTTCAGCAGTAATAGTGGCAACTTAAGTAATAATTTAAGAAGGAATAATGAAGTTAAGAGCGTTCTGTGCTATTTCCTGGAGGTATTCATTTAGCCCAGGTCTCTCCTATGGTTCTACTGGAATTATATTTAGAAAATATCAAGCCACATAAATAAATTTTTTAACTGAAATTATCAATCATTGTAATTAGTACTATAAAGTTGACAGAGCGTAGGTTTTGCTGTTGGAAGGTCAGAGATGGGGGCTAGGCTCCATTACTTAACAGCTGTTTGATCTTTGGCAAATTATTTCACCTTTCAGACTCCTTTCCTTCATGAGTAGGAATAATATCTGTGGCAGTGATTTCTATCATGTATAACAGCCACATGTGCCTGGTACCCAGTCTCTGGGGGGAGCACGTGGTAAGAGTGTAGGAAGAACTGCTGTGTCAAAGTGAGGACAACACAGGTGGAGCCATGCATGTTATCTGCCCTTTAAAGCTAAGTTCTTATGAAATATGCCTTTCAAAATGTGCAGAAGAAAAACTCAAGATTTCTCATATACAATTCCCAGAAAGAGATCACCCACTTTCCTTTTTGATGTGTAGAAAAGGATGCTGAGACTTTTGTGTGTGTTCACATTGGGCTGTTTATCACATTTGCTGCTCTAGATTTATTCTCATTGCCCAATTGTTTCAAGGAGGTAGACATATTCTCTTTATTTTCCCCAGGTCCATCACTATGTTTTTCATTTCTTTTGTGACCTGCTCCCATTTGGGTACCAAAAAAAAAAAAAAAAAAAAAAAAGCCTCTTCAAAGTCAAAGTACCACAAGTTGCTTCTGGACTGGTGATACAAAGTTTCTCTTTCTCAGGTTACAAATTGTTTTAAAGTTTCCTGTCATGTTGGCTCATATTTAAATCCTCATAGTGAAAATGGTAAAGTTGTTTATTTCTTTTATTGACTATGCTAGAACTTCTACCGTTCAGAGATCTGCTCTGTTCTCTTGCCGAAAAGCAATCCCCTCCTAATTGTTTTCTTCTCTTCCAGCTTTAAATATACCTTGGGTTTCACCAGGAATGTCTTTTCTGCTTAGTGTGTGTCAAGAACTCTAGTTTTTAGATGGCAAATCAGAAGTCTCTGCTCCTATCGTACCCCTAAACACACCTTTGTTGGGGCAGTTTTTCAACAGGTTCACACTTATCAATTTATGTTTCATTCTGTCTTTCAGGCTATGAATCTATATTGGAAGGGCAAAATCCAAGATTTCATCATGTTTGTATTTCTAGCACATAACAAATATGCCATAAATGTTTGTTGAATGGTCAAATGACTATATTTTATGTTAGAAAGTAGCTATCAGTTTTTCTTAAAAATAGCAACAAGATGATTTTTATATCTCCCTTGTTTTCTGTAGGATATGATCATCATGGCACCTATATTACTGATTCTTTTGGGGGCCACTGAGATACTGCAAGCTGACTTACTTCCTGATGAAAAGAGTAAGGACCTTCTATTCAATTCAATAATGTTTATTTTTAAAAGTATGTTAGTAAAAAGGTAGCATTATTTTCTCTTAAACTGTCAATTAGAACATTGTATGTGGATTTTTGTAAGAGACAATATTTATCCCATCAGAAGACAGATGCTTTAAACATGCTGTATTTTTTAAGAAACTAATGTTGGTTGAAATGCAAATGTTATGCTACAGTGAAAAATCAAAGTCCAAGTGTGGGTGGCTGGGCACCATGGAATAAAGCTGGTGCCAGTGGTCGCATTTGGAAAGTCTTCCCACACAAGGGAATAATTAGCAGGCTTCATAGCCGAACATTAAGAAGGTTCCACTGCATTTTATCCTGAAATTTGTTGATGTATGTATTTGGTGTGATGACAGAGTTTAAGGAAAACCATCACATGATCCAAATTTAGCATTGTCAACAGAACTATCTATGGTAATGACAATGTTCTGTCTTTGTAATGTCCAAGGCAGTAGCCACTAGCCATATGTGATTACTGAGCCCTTGACATATGGATAGTGCAACTATGGTAATTAATTTAAATTAATTTAGGCCAGACACAGTGGCTCACACCTGTAATCCTAGCACTTTAGGAGGCCAAGGCAGGTGGATCACTTGAAATCAGGAGTTTGAGACAAGCCTGGCTAACATGGGGAAACCCCAACTCTACTAAAAATACAGAAATAGCCAGGTATGGTGGCACATGCCTGTAATCTCAGCTACTTGGGAAGCTGAGGCAACAGAACAGCTTGAACTGAGAGGCAGAGGTTGCAGTGAACTGAAATCGCACCACTGCTCTCCAGCCTGAGTGACAGAGTGAGACTTTGTCTCAAAAATTAATTAATTAACTAATTAAAATTTTGATAGCCATAAGTTGCCAGTGGCTACCATAAGGGACAGCGCAGCACAAACAGAGCTCTAAAAATCCTCATGTGGTAAATGTGGATATAGAGGTGTAGAAGGTTGTTAAGGTCAATGGATAAATCCTGATTACTTAGTAAATGAATAAAAGAAGTTTTGATAATTGTGTACACAATACCGTCCTAATTGCAAATAAAAATAAATAAATACACGCCCAGCAAAATCACAGTGGATATATCATATGTTAATGCCATTCTTAGTGGTATGATTATTTTAAAAATTTTATTATCTTCTTTGTGCTTACCTGTGCTTTCCAATATTTCTTCAAAGAATAGATAGTGATTTTGTAATTAAACAAAAGTTTATATTTTGAAAGCAAAGTCAGAAAGTGGCTCATGAAGGGGGAAGAAAGCTTTTCTTTGTGTAGAGGCCTATTTAAGTAAGTTTGTTTGCAAATATTTTTGTCTGTGACTCATAATGAGGTAAGTACATTTTTACATTATGTACCAGCACACATACAAATATATATCTATAACTATCTTTATGTAGTGGAAACAAGAGATACATGAAACAGCCCTCATTATGTTTGATGCACACTGATATTTTCTATTCTATTTTTCTTCCACATCATTAAAATAAAAATTCTGATCACAAACCAATACATTGTTATCACTGCCTCTTAATGGCTAATGACCCTCAGTTTGAAAATTATGGTTAGAGTGAATAGTGATACAGTAACATGTTCATATTTCAATAAAAATATAGATATTATAGGTAAACACCTGGGCAGCATAAAAAAGATAAGTTAAAAACAGTTTTAAAGAAACTGCTTGTAGACTGGCCGTCGTGGCTCATGCCTGTAATTCCAGCATTTTGAGAGGCTGAGGTGAGTAGAACACTTGAGGTCAGGAGTTTGAGACCAGCCTGGTCAACATGGTGAAACCCTGTCTCTACTTGAACAATAACAAAAAAATTAGCCCAGCGTGGTGGCATGCGCCTGTAGTCCCAGCTACTTGGGTGAAAATAGCCACTCTCTCTTTGCCCCGGTGTTCAGGCACAGCAGAACAACTGTGTCTGTGGTGCTGGCAGGTCCAGGACAGCATCTGCAGGACAACAAATATTCAAAAAGTTTTAAAAGTGTGGCCTATGTCTAGTTGAACACTGTGTTGTTTCTTTCTTCTCTGAATCAACAGTTTCACTTCTCCCACCTGTCAATTTTACCATTAAAGTTACTGGTTTGGCTCAAGTTCTTTTACATTGGGAACCAAATCCTGATCAAGAGCAAAGAAATGTTAATCTAGAATATCAAGTGAAAATAAACGCTCCAAAAGAAGATGACGTAAGTGTTTATTCTAATGGATATCCTTACTGAGAATTAAATATGCATTTTGACTGCATTTTCTTTATCAAATGAAATTTTAGATTAGAAAAGAAAAAGAAAACTACGGATAGGCTCTTTATTATATTGCCAGTAGAATAGTGTCTCTGCAAGAATGCCTGTGAGCTAATGCTGGGTATATTGTTCAGCATTACACAGCATTGCAGAATATTTTAACTTTCAGATGATTCCCTTAGGGAAGAATGTTTAGTAACTTCTTAGGCACAATGGATTGGATACTGGTTTTCTGTTTCCCCTAAAATTACAACAGAACAGGGGAAAGTAGTCTAGTAAAACAAGAAGCGGGCAGGCAAAGCAGAGAGTCAGGGAAACCAAGTTCAAATCCTAGTTTTTCCACTTCCTGCCTTTGCAACCTGGGACAGGTCACTTAGCTTCTCAGAGCCTCAGTTTTACCTCGGGGCTACATTCAGGCACCTGCTGCATATTAGGTGTGCAGTGCATTCAAACAAAGGGAGAAGTGATTCATATTAACTATTTTTCAATCAATATAGAATTCTAGAGAATTTTCTGTCAAACATTGACCTCCGGGGAGATGGTGGTCAAGAGAACTTGAGTTTAACTGTGATATTTTATTTGTATTTACAAGAATAATGTGTTCATGTGTTGTTGAGAAATTACTGTGTTGTTATTACAATGGTTTTGACTTTTTTCCAGCAAAACTGTTTCATTGCATTTTCCTCTTCATTTAAAAAGTGGAAGAAAATGCAGATTTGATTAAAATAGCTCTCTTAAGGCTAGTTCTCTTTTATGTATCACAACTTGGGGGTTTTATTTTTAGTATGAAACCAGAATCACTGAAAGCAACTGTGTAACCATCCTCCACCAAGGCTTTTCAGCAAGTGTGCGGACCATCCTGCAGAACGACCACTCATTTCTGGCCAGCAGCTGGGTTTCTGCTGAAGTTCAGGCTCCACCAGGTAAAGCGAACCTCCAAAAGTTCAGTGTCTATGTTTTGGATTTTGAAACTATAGAAACGTAGAAAAATTAACACTAACTCACTTTTTTTTCAGTCAGTCATCTGTTCTTATCAAGTACTCCCATATCAACAACATCCTAACCAAGGCTGCTGCCACTTCTTATAACCAACTGAGTTCCATCTGGAACATTCTTGCAGAAATATCCACTGTCTCTGCCTTGGCCTCCAGTGGAAAGCTGGTGTTTCTGATACTTAGAATCAGTAATACTTCTGATCAAACACTTAAGTGTGCACACACAATAGAGGAGAGAAAAGAGGAAAAGCAGGCTACCAAGTTCTGGGATATGTGGGTTCACCCAATAATAATTATCTTGGTCAGTCAAGCTCATAGGTAATTTTCAAACGATTATCTTCTCATATCACCAGATGAAAAGACCATGCCTCCTGAATTGTGTTGGTGACTTAAAACAGAATCATAAAGATCTTCCCATTTACTTTTTTTTTTTTTTTTGAAAAAGGGTCTCACTCTGTCACCCAGGCTGACGTGCAGTGGTGTGTTCTCAACTCACTGCAAACTCTGCCTCCTGGGTTCAAGCGGTTCTCATGTCTCAGCCTCCCAAGTAGCTGGGATTATAGACATGCACCCCTATAGCAGACTAATTTTTGTATTATTACTATTGTAGAGATGGGGTTTTGCCCTGTTGGCCAGGCTGGTCTCGAACTCCTGGCCTCAAGCCATCCACCTGCCTCCACCTCCCAAAGTGCTGGAGTTACAGATGTAAGCCACTGTATCTGGCCCAATTTACTTGTTATAACTTGTCTAGACCACATACTAGCCAATTTGCATGGGCTTGATTACAAGTACAGAAACTAATTCAAGGTAGATGCAAGAGCACAGAGATGGATTATTGTATATGCTTTACATCAAATCACTATTCCCCCTTTCTATAATGAATAACTGGATTTTACCTATGAGGCACTTTGCCATTTAGATTTCTACAATTCTAATTATCCTCTGAGAATTCTAATACAGGATGACACTAATAAAAATTATTTCTGTTTTGAACCAAGTGGAATCCACATAAAATGATTCCTTGGATGAGAATGACAAGACAAAGAGTCTTCCGAATCTGTAAACTGTATTTGGGGCATGGACTTTCTGGTCATTTGGTGCATGGACGAACATATATTAGGTTGGTGCAAAAGTAATGATTAAAATCATAACTACTTTTGCATCAATAATATATACTATGAATTGCATATATTGCATATGAATATATACTATGAGCTGAATAAGTCAATCTGATTTGAGGTATTTCTTTAATACCTCATCTTTAACTTCTCTAGAAATCCATCTTTAACTTCTCTAATTTCACTATAGGTAATAAAAGGCTCTCTCTCATCATCTTCTCCCTCTGCTTCTTGAAAGACACTGGCTGACAATGATAAAAATGATCTACAACTGATTTAAGCTACGATCAAAAGACCCCCTTCTGTCTCTCAAGGCTCTCATTTTGATGTGGTCTTTCCTGACCTGGGTGCAAGAGCTTGTTTTCTTCTCTGAACAACCACCAACAAGGCAGTGTTTCCCAGTGTCTTCTAAAGACCAACAGTTAATACAGCAACAAGAGAGGTTAAAATGAAAACAAACCTTTCTAGTCACATAATTTGAGAAATCCTTAATGAAGCAAACACTAAAAGGTTGCATTTAAAATCTTGGCCGGGCACAGTGGTTCACAACTGTAATCCCAGCACTTTGGGAAGCTGAGGCAGGTGAATTACTTGAGGTCAAGAGTTTGAGGCCAGCCTGGCCAACTTGGTGAAACCCTATCTCTACTAAAAACACAAAAATGAGGTGGACATGGTGGCGTGTGCCTGTAATCCCAGTTACTAGGGAAGCTGAGGCAAGAGAATTGCTGAAACCTGGGAGGTGGAGGTTGCAGTGAAAAAATAACACCACCGCACTCCAGTCTGGGTGACAGAGTGACTCTGTTTCCAAAAATATTAAGAATAAATAATAAAATAAAATAAAATTTGAAGGTTTTTTTTTTTTTTTTTTTTTTTTTTTTTGAGACAGGGTCCCACTCTGTTGCCCAGGCTGGAATGCAGTGGCATGATCTTGGCTCACTGCAGCCTTGACCTCCCCAGCTCAAGTGATCCTTCCACCTCAACCTATCCAATAGCTGGAACTACAAGGCACCTGACACCACACCTGGCTAATTTTTGTTTTATTTTTTGGATATATGGGTTTTTTCCATGTTACCCAGGCTGGTCTCAAACTCCTGCGCTCAAGAGATATCCATCTGCCTTGGCCTCACAATGTGCTGGAATTATAGGCATGAGCACTGTGCCTGGCCAATTCAAGATTTTCTTAAAGTTCTAGTATATTAAAGAAGACTTTAACATGCTAATGTGCATCAAGTCTGCATAGCAGTGGTATTATCTTTCAGTGCTGTCAAAACTCATTTCTTCTGAGCAGCAACCTATGTAATTCATGAAACATTTGGATACAACCTAATGAGTCATACAATTCTAGGATGGAGAGAAACACTCAAGACCTTTGTGTACCAACCCTCTTCTTTACAATTGAAAACATAGAGTCCAAAGAGTGGGGGGCACTGTCTCACAGCTAGTTATTAACAAATGTGGCATTAGAGCACCAAAGTTGCTGGACATCAACCTCTAAATGATAATATGTTGTAATTCTCTTGAACTTTCACACATTCGTTGCACAAACACAACCATCAAACCCCAAACAAAATAGCTGGGAAGCATTTAATATCAGAAATGGGGGCTTTATAATTCTAGTTCCCTATCTCCAGCAAGTTGGCCTTTGGTGGTTAGAAGGTTTCTAGAAATATGTGATAATGGCTGGGCATGGTGGGTCATGCTTGTAATCCCAGCACTTTAGGAGGCCAAGGCCAGTGGATCACTTGAGGTCAAGAGTTCAAGACCAGCCTGGCCATCATGCTGAAACCTCAGCTGTACTGAAAATACAAAAATTAGCTGAGTGTGGTGGTGTACACCTGTAATCCTAGCTACTCAGGAGACTGTGGCATGAGAATCACTCCAACCCAGAGGCAGAGGTTGCAGTGAGCTGAGATCATACCAGTGTACTGCAGCTTGGGTAACAGAGCGAGACTCTCAAGGGAAAAAAACAATGTGAGGATGATTATTTTTGGTGATGAATAAGATGTTCAGATCACTGCAGTTGCAAAAGAAGCATGAAATTCAGAGTCTACCATGGCAATTTTTTCTTCTTTTTATTTTTGACTACCTAGGGTCTCCCAGAACCTCAGCTTTGAATTTAACCTGCACCACAAACACTACAGCAGATAATTATTCACACTTAAGGCCATACCAAGTTTCCCTTCACTGCACCTGGCTTGTTGGCACAGATGCCCCTGAGGACACGCAGTATTTTCTCTACTACAGGTTAGTACTGAACCTATTTTTACTTAGGCAAATAGTTGTTTCCTGCAGTGTTATAAAACTCATGAGTGTTACAATTTAGGTATGGTTCCTGGACTGAAGAATGCAAAGAATACAGCAAAGACATACTGGAGAGAAATATTGCATGCTGGTTTCCCAGGACTTTCATCCACAGCAGAGGGCGTGACTGGCTTGTGGTTCTTGTTAATGGCTCCAGCAAGCACACTACCATCAAGCCCTTTGATCAGCTGTTTGCCCTTCACACCATTGGTAAGACTGACTTAACCCAAATCTGAAATAACCTCAGAATCTGAGCACTGGAGGGAAGGGTTATAAAGATCACCTAGTTTTACTACTTCTCTGATGCTAGGTAAGCATAGGGGCCCATGTTCAAAAACCACTGGGACAGGGTCCTCCATCCCAACACCACCAATGATTTTGAAAGGATAACTCTGTTATAGAGGGTTGTCTTGGGCATGGTAGAATATTTCGCATCATCTCTGGCTTCTCACACTAGATGCCATGAGTATGCCACTCTGCCCCGGATATACGATTTTTTAAAAAGTTTCAGACTTTGCCAAATGTCCCTCAGGGGGTAAAATTTCTCCCAGTTGAGAATGACTGCACTAGAAAAAGTGAACTAACTGCTTCAAAGAGACCATTTAATCTTTCATCACTTCTGACAGGTTTTGTGAAATTTCTGCCCCCGGGTGCTGTTGTGGACTAGTGCCAACCCAGTTCGTTTGAGTCCTTTCCCTACAGAGTGGCCTCTCTTAGCTATTCTAGTAGACCTCCCATTCAGAAGCCCTTCTTCTCCAGGTTAACATCTCTCTCCCTGCATTTCCCACTGTTCTGGCCCATCTCCTGGATGTTCTCCAGCTCGAATCTCTCTCAGTGTGCAATTCTTAGCTCTAAAAATTCTATTCCTGTTTTCATATGCTCAATTCTCAATAGAGAAGACACTCTCCCTCATCTCAGATAGTTCTGTTCATGAAACTCATCAGGTGCTCTCACATGACATTTTTGGTTATGGAGATTTCAGATTTCAATGGTGGGCTGGTTATTATGGGTTGCTGGGGGTGGGGGCAGACTTCCTGGACTTGGGTCCTGGTTCTACCACTGACTGAGTGACCTTGGATGAGCTGACCATTCCTCTGTGTCTAATCTTATCTGAAACAATGGAGAGGAATCAATACTTCCATTGTGTTTTCATAAGAATTGTGTTGCTAATGATAAAGTGCTTAGACCAGTGCCTTGCATAAAGGTTTAATATACTAAAATATTATTTAGAGGATATGGTTTGTCTGTGACATATCTATAGCCAATGGATATAACTTTGTGTAAAGAATCATAGCCCTTACTAAAGAGGTTATGCAATTCTCTCCAGTAGTATATTTCTAAGATAAACTAAAAATGTCACTTTCATGAAAATTGGCAATAAAAGATGCTGAGGCCGGGCGCAGTGGCTCAAGCCTGTAATCCCAGCACTTTGGGAGGCCGAGGTGGGCGGATCACGAGGTCAAGAGATCGAGACCATCCTGGTCAACATGGTGAAACCCCGTCTCTACTAAAAATACAAAAAATTAGCTGGGCATGGTGGTGTGTGCCTGTAATCCCAGCTACTCAGGAGGCTGAGGCAGGAGAATTGCCTGAACCCAGGAGGTGGAGGTTGCGGCGAGCCGAGATCACGCCATTACACTCCAGCCTGGGTAACAAGAGTGAAACTCCATCTCAAAAAAAAAAGATGCTGAGGAAGACCTAGGAAAAAATAATATTAATATGAAAATGGATATGATTAGTATAGACCATAGGAATTCATTTTCTTTTATAATTTTCATTTTATTGGGGCTAATTCCTAGGATTACTAAAAGAAATCAGTACTTTCTTGGTTAATAATTTTCTTCTTAGGGACTAGAAGGCTCTGAAGCCAGTGGATCCCACTCTTGGCCCCATTAATTGTGAGATCTAAGCCACATTACCTAAGACAAGGACACTCGCTAAGAATTAATTTCTACTCATCTCAAGGGACCATAAGACAATCAAGTGAGATCTCAAGGGAAAGGACATTAGAGTTCTAAGTGAAGACAAATTTAGCCCAATCCATTTTTTTAATGCAAAAGAAAACTAAAGCTTCCTGCTCCTCTGTCTCCCAAACAAACAAAGACACAGTAAACAAAATGAGATTAAAAACTGAATCTCAGAAAGGGGAAGTGATTTGCTCAGGGTCGTATAGCTACTGGCAAGAGGCAGAGCATGGTGGGAGGTCCGGGGAAATGTTCTCTCAGTGGTCAGGTTTATTCTGGGCTTGGTACAGCTCGAGTAGTAAAAGGGGATGGTGGGTGAGTCTTGCAATGAGCTAAGTGGGGAAGAGATTCAAGCATTCAATTCCATTTGGAGTAGTAATCCTTGTAGTTTCCAGAAAGGGTCTCTTCTTCTTCAGCACTGTAAGACAAGTGTATTATGAGAGGCCACCAGCTTCCTGTGGCTTGGAGATCAGTTGATTAAGACCTGATGGTAAGACCTTTTTGAAAATAGCCTATCTCAGAAATGCCTTGAGAAGTGTGAGTGGGTTGGAGTTATCAGCTCTGATCACAGATTCTAAGGAGATATCACTGATCTTTCATTCCCTAATGTAGATCAAATAAATCCTCCACTGAATGTCACAGCAGAGATTGAAGGAACTCGTCTCTCTATCCAATGGGAGAAACCAGTGTCTGCCTTTCCAATCCATTGCTTTGATTATGAAGTGAAAATACACAATACAAGGAATGGATATTTACAGGTAATTCCTCAGATCATTCCAGTATTTGAAGACAGACATTCATTTTAGAGACATTTAAAACATGATCTTCAGTGACTGCAACCAAATTACAGCTTTGTACTAACAAGGTGAAAGTTAACTTATATCTACCCAGGTATTATAGATATAAACCAAATCTTACTGGTCTTTTGTTTTGAAAGAACATACTTTTGGTTGAAACTAATACAAAAGATTAGATACAGACTCATTGGTACTACTGTTAGTTAAAACCTAAAATGATGGCTGGGCACAGTGACTCACACCTGTAATCCCAGTATTTTGGGAGGCCAAGGTAGGTGGATGACCTGAGGTAAGAAGTTTAAGACTGGCCAACATGATGAAACCCCGCAGTATTTTCAGTAATATAGGTTAGTACTGTACCTATTTTTACTTAGGTAAATTATTGTTTCCTGCAGTCTCATAAAGGAATCAACTGAGGTCAGGAGTTCAAGACCAGCCTGGCCAACATAGTGAAACATCATCTCTACTACAAATACAAAACCTATCCGGATGTGGTGGTGCACACCTTTAATCCCAGCTACTTTAGGGTGGGGGTGGGGGTTGAGGCAGGAGAATTGCTTCAATCAGGGAAGCAGAGGTTGCAGTGAGCTGAGATTGTGCCACTGCACTCCAGCCTGGGTGACTGAGTGACATTTCAACTGAAAAAGAAAGAAAAATCTAAAATGATGCAGCTGCTATAAAAACGGTATGATGCATCATTTTAGATTTTTGGCTGAGGCAGGAGAATTGCCTGAACCCAGGAGGTGGAGGTTGCAGTGAGCCGAGACCGCGCTATTGCACTTCAGCCTGGGTAACAAGAGCAAAACTCCGTCTCAAACAAACAAACAACAACAAAAAATGGTATGATGAATTCTTAAAAAATTAGAAACAGAATTTCCATATGATCCAACAATTCCACTTCTGGCTACATATACAAAACAATTGAAAGCAAGGATTCAAAGACATGTTTGTACACCCATGTCCATAGCTGCATTATTCACAATAGCCAAAAGGCAGAAGCAGCCTGAGTGCCCATTAAATGAATGGAATAAGCAAAATGCAGTGTATACATACAACACGCTATGAGCCAGCATTAAAAGGAAGGAAATTCTGCTACAACACAGAGGAGCCTTGAGGACCCTATGCTAAGAAAAATAAGTCAGTTACAGAAGAACAAATACTGTCCAATTCTACTTTTATGAGGTTAAATAGTCAAACTCATAGAAACAGAGTAAGATGGTGGTTACCAGGAATTGGTAAGGGTGGATGGAGAGCTACTGTTTAATGGGTACAGAGTTTCAGTTTCACAAGATTAAAAGAGTGTCGAACATTGGTGACACAATGTGAAAATACTTAACATTATAAAATTGTACACTTAAAAATGGTTAAGATAGTAAATTTCATTATATGTATGTTACCACAATTAAAAAAAAATATTAGCACTAATGGTCAAAAATTTCAAGGGGAATGGAACTGAGAAGAAAGTCAATCAACATTTCTTGAGCATCAATTATGTGTCAAGCTTTATTATTTGAGTTTATTCTATCCTCACAATAATGCTATGATGTAATTATCATTCTCATTTTATAGGAAAGTGAGGCAAACGAGATTAAGTAACTCTCTCACAGTCACAAAGCTAGGAAAAAAACAGGATAGTCAGGATTCCAACTCATGTCTTATTGAGAGTAGACAAAGCCAATTCAATTTGATTCAACAAATATTTACAAATTGGTTCCTTTGTGAGAGATAAGGATATATAAGACTGTTTCTGCCATCGAGTGACCCAATCTTGTGACACACTTGCCCAGGCTTGGGATTGCCCTCCAGCAGGAAAAGCCAGTGCAGCTAGAGATAGGGGTGTGGGCAGACAGTCTGCTCTGCAGAGGGGAATTGAACGGAATCTGTAAGGATGAAGAGAAACTGGTCTGCTGAGAAAACATGAGAAGGACTTTCTTAGTCAGAGCTTCCCAAAACACTTACACTGAAGGACTGTGTGTGTGTGTGTGTGTGTGTGTGTGTGTGTGTGCGTGTGTGTGTGTGTGTGTGTGTGTGTGTTTTATACTGTCTAATCTACCATAGACAATTGTATTCTGTCAAATACAGTTAAAATGATTTGCTAGAAAAAATTAAATACAGCCAAAGACATGTAACGTGTCAGTTCACTGATGTGTTTATATATCATAGCAATGTCAAATTGCTATCAAAACTTCTAAATTGCAGTCATAATTTCTATATTTAGCCCATCACAGGCAAGTAGTAAATAGTGCCTGACTTATACCAGTCTAGGAAAGGAGTGACTTTATGCTTGAGAGAGTATGGTTCCTTCAGCCGAGTGGCAAGTAATTCAGTCTGCCTGGATGCCAGGACATAAGACCAGCACTGGAATCCTGACTCTGTATGTGACACTGTGACTTTTCCCAGGTGGCTCTATAGGATTTTGTTAAAAAATAAAGAAATATATATTTTTAAAACCATGACTACAGGCAATGGATGCCACTGAAAAGTTTTGCACAATAAAGAAATGTTTCTACGTTTGCATAGAAGAATTTTGGTAGCAGCATGAAAACTAGATGTGAGTGGGGAAGGTACAAATGGACATACAGATATCAGTTAGTGGCCACTGTAGGAGTCCAAGCAAAAGATAATAAGAGCTAAAATAGGCAATGGTCACGGGCCTGGAGTAAAAAAGGGAGAAATACCTCCAGGGGATATTCAAGATGCAGGTGTCAGGAACACATCTCTGGCAAAGGGGACTAGTTGGATGGTGGTGACAATGATCAGTAAAAAGAAAAAGGTGAAGGCCTCATTCATGAGACAATACCTTCATTTCCACACTAGAGAATCTAGCGTTCGTGTGATATTATCTAGTAATGTAACCACAGATTACGGAGGGACAAGGTGAAGGAATAAAGCATTCTGGCCTAGGCTACTCCAGTCTTTCAGTCTGGAAACATCAGCTGGGCCTGGATACGATCACCTGGATCTTGACCATTGACCATTTCATATATTTTGGTTACAAGACAATGTTCCCCTGAAGGGTGACTGCCAACACATCCACACTGAAACATCTAGCATAAACTGTGTCCTGTTGATTTTAAATTGCTTGCTGATGGGTGAGTCAAATGACCCATATAGGACCTGTCGTTTTGATAATTGGCAGAACTAAATTAGGTGTCTGAAGATTCTTATAATGCTATTTTTCCCCACTTAGATAGAAAAAATGATGACCAATGCATTCATCTCAATAATTGATGATCTTTCTAAGTACGATGTTCAAGTGAGAGCAGCAGTGAGCTCCATGTGCAGAGAGGCAGGGCTCTGGAGTGAGTGGAGCCAACCTATTTATGTAGGTAAGTAGATTATGTTTGTTTTGCATTAGCAGCCTTCCTTGTGATCAAATATGGTAATCCCAGAAATGTACACTTTCATTTGTGGGTCTTAAAATGGTTCGTATCTCTATTGTGACTCATTTTCTATCGGTATACTGCCTTTTCAACCAGGGACAGATCTGCCATGAAGCCAATAAAGTTTAAGTGTCCAAGCTTCTCATTAGCACCAACCCTCCTAGACCTGGTACCTATTTGTTCCTCCAAATTTTATTTCTATTTCTATCCATTTTTAAATTTCAACTTTTTATTTTGAAGTAATTATTAGACTCACAGGCTATAGGAAGAACTAATAGAGCTCCTGTATCTCTCTCATCCAATTTTCCCTAAGGGTAACATCTTGCAAAACTATATATAGTACAATAGTGTAACTATAATATTGGTGTTGACAATCCAGATCTTACTGAGATTTCCTCAATTTTATATATCCTCACTTGTTCGTTTTTTGAGACAGAGTTTCACTTTGTTGCCCAGGCTGGAGTGCAATGGCACGATCTTGGCTCACTGCAACCTCCACCTCCCATGTTCAAGTGATTCTCCTGTCTCAGCCTCCCAAGTAGCTGGGACTACAGGCACATGCGACCAAGCCTGGCTAATTTTTGTATTTTTAATAGAGGCAGGGTTTCACCATGTTGGTCAGGCTGGTCTTGAACTCCAGACCTCAGGTGTTCCACAGGCCTCAGCTTCCCAAAGTGCTGGGATTACAGGCATGAGCCAGTGTGCCCAGCCATATGTCATCATTTGTATATATGTGTTTTGTTCTATGCAATTTTAGCACATGTTTAAATTCATATATTCATCATCATAGTCAAGATACAGAGAAGTTTCATCATCAGCTGTTACCCTTTTATAAATATACCCGTCACTCTCTCCCCTCTTCTGTCCCTGAACCCTGGTAACTACTAGTCTGTTCTCAATCTCTGTAATTTTCCCATACATAATTTTGACTTTATACTTTTATTTATTTAAAATAAGTTTCCAAAATTGAATAATCCATAGGGGCCTACAAAATCTGGATTTGTCCCTGAGCTTTCAGCCTAATAGACATAGAGGATCAAAGTGTTTAGGCATTACCCAGCCTCCTGTGTTTGCTCTCCAACTGTTTATGTTAGGATCAAATGGACTAGTTTTCTTGGCAAGTTAAGATGGGCATCTTTTCTGTCAGTGAGCTCCATGAAGGGTAATAATATAGCCAATGGCAGCTATGGATGAAGGGGCACATTTCCAGTCTCACCCTGTCACAGATGTCAGTTCCACACCCAGGACATGTGGACTTGAACCTTGAAGATAGAAAATTCATACCCTGTGTTTGTTATTACCTGGGTGTTGCAGGCAGGTCAACATAGGCATTGTCTGAGAGAAGGAAATAGTTAAAAAGCAGCTAGTGTGTCTCAGACGTATGTTAAACCATGCAGCCTGGGGAGGCAAACACATGCCATTAACTGTTCCACTAGGTCTACAAGAGCAGGGAATGATGGGCAGAAGACTGGAGCCTTACATAGGAAGCCCAGGTTTAACATTCAGCCTTGACAAGGATTGATTGTGTATCCCCAGACAAATCATTTCTCTCTGTTTGCTTGGGTTTGCAAGATAAAGGAGATAATACCCACCTTCCCTGCTCCAAAGGGTATCTGAAACAAAAACAACAGCAGGGATAGCAGATTATATGTATTGGGTTTTTTGTTGTTGTTGCTGTCATAGTTGTTTTTGCCAAGCACTATGCTAAACACATTATCTTAGTCCTATCAACAAACTTATTTTGCAGAGGAGGATATAGGTTTGGAAAGTTTAGGTGATTGGCTTAACTGTGTGTGGCCAACAAGTGGCAGAGATGGGGTTCTAACCCCAGGTTAACTGACTCTAGCACTTGATCTCTGGGCACTCTGGCATGGTGTGACAGGATTCTGCAAGCTTCAAAGTGCTGGGTAGATTAAAGTCTTATTTAAGAGATCTCAGTAGCCAATCTTTGTGATTATGGCTGGTCAAACATGTGGACGTCATCTCTCACAAATCCTATGGGGTATTCAGTAACCACTGGAAGAGTATACATCGGAGAGATTTATTTTAGGCACATGCTAAAATGTTCTACTGTTTAATTAATTCACTTAAGTTAGGGGTGGGTCTTCAGGAAATCTTGGGCAGTGACCCATTAGCTCATGTGGAAATGACTCAGATCTGACACATAGCAGGTAGATTTCCCTGGAAGACTGGGAAAGATGAGGAAAGTCCTGATAAATGGAGAACTGTTCTGAGTATGCCATGTGGCTGGTCATGCTAAGTTAGTGAGTTCCCAAAGGAGAATAGTGTCCCCTAAAGTTGTGCAACACACAACCAGCTCAGCCTTAGAGGGGTAGCCCTCACGTCACTCAGAGAGACTTACAGGAGCAGCATGAGCCTTTCTGGGGAGAGAGAACTGAAAGGACACTAAAAGGAACTGAGAATAGGCTAAATTCACCTGCTTCATAATTCTGTCCTCCCTTCCTCCTGCCCCCACCTAACTAAATTGACCCAGCACACACAGAACTTCCCTCAACATAGCTCCATTTGCACAGAGAAAATTCACTCTGTTCCCCAAGAAGGAAACAAACATGAGAAACATTAATCAGTCTCAGGGGATTTTTAACAAGGTCATTAATTTTGTCAAGTGCCTAAGGTGGAAGTTTAGTTTTTGTTACTTGACTTTAATAGACTTCTTTTTAAACAAGCTTTATGTTACTCCCCACAGGCACAAAACTCACTGGCTCAAAACTATTCCTATTTCTGTCTTTCCAACACCTCTATATATACAATTCTGGAGATTTTTAAATGCTGCCTAAGGAACCCTAAACCAAGATGATGGGCACCAAGGTCAGAATCCTGGATAGGAAGCCAGTTATGCTTTCTGAGTCTTTGACTTTTGAAGTTACAGTCAATGTTGACTGTAGATAATTTAGAATGTATAGGATGAAAAAGAAGCACTAGATATTCAGGACATCTAGGTTTTAGCCATGGCTCTGCCAGTGTCTAGCTCTATGATGTAAGCTAGAAATGGCAAAAGATAATATTTTATGAGCAAAGTAATCAGAGACAGCTTAGAGTGCAGTGTTGAGAAGGATTCTGAGGCTAAATTTAGACTATCCGAAGGAATCATGATCTCCTGCCACCACTGCAGGAGACAGAGTGGTGACCAGTGTGCCAGGGTTTTGCCACCCTGTCCCAGTCAGTCTACACCTAGCCCATGTGGGCCTCAGTGTCCTCACTTGTAAAATATAAGTGCGGCACTACAAACCTGCTTCCAACTCCGCCACTCACATTCACCTCCTCTGCACCACCGCACTGCAGAAGTGCTGAGAGTGAAACTGTGATCCATAATGAGTGCTTATTTTAAGCTTGTTTTTAATTTATTATTCACTCTCCACTTTAGAGCTCTCTTACCATTATTATTTCCTAAATAACACCTTCCTAGTTTGAATATGGGCTCATTATAATTTCCCCCTAGGTGTACTTCATTGCAATTATCTATAGCAAACCCCATTTCATTTACTGCCACCCTTTTCATGAAGATGAGCTGATTAATATTACTACTCATATTATAAATTCATCCTTTCTGGAATTTACTCCCCTGCTCAGTTTAGGATCATTAGTGAATTTAATCAAGGTAGACTTTCCATTTTCATCAAGATGATTAATAAACATAATAGGAAGTTCAAGCCCCTCTGGGACATTTTGTGTGGCTCTTTTTTATCCCTTGAGGATGCAGCAATAATTACGTTCAGCTACGAGTTTATCAGGCGATTTTGCTGCTACATTCATTTCCTTTAAACACTCTTTCTCATCTTTTGCCTTATCTTAAAAATGACAGGCTGCAGCCCTCCCACTTCATTTCACTCCAATGTTCAGCTCAAATATCACCCCTTTCTTAGATATTAATTCCGCCCCCCACCATTATTTTAACTTAAGAAAATGGAGGTCCTGAGATACTAAATGACTCAGCAGTTGTCAAACAGCCAAGAAATGACTATTAACATAAAATTTTCTCAAACAGGTGATATATGAGCCAATTAGTGAATTAGAATAGATTTGATCCACTAATTAACCCATTATAGCCCAAGGTTCTTTGATTACAAAAATGAGACACAGGGTAAGTTTTGATTGATGAGATACGGGGAGCCGGGAGAGGCAGGGGGTGCTGTCCAGCTCTGTTGGTAAGGTCCCTGGCCACCCAAGGGGCACAGGGGACACCAGGTAGGGGGTATAGTAAGCAAGTGAGTGGTCTTTGCTTGCTCTGAACAGGGCCTGATTGGCTCTCCTGTCCTAGAATTTCCAGAGTATGGAATTTTTAAAATTAAAAACAATTGTCTTATTTCAACAGTTTTAGGGGTACAAGTGTTTTTTGGTTATATGGATGAATTGCATAGTGGTTAAGTGGTTAAGTCTGGGCTTTTATGGCACCCATCAGCTGAATAGTTTACATCATACCCAGTAGGTAATTTTTCATCCCTCATGCTCCTCCTACCCTCTCTCCTTCTGAGTTTCCAGTGCTCATTACACCACTCTGTATGCCTTTGTGTACCCTTAGCTTAGCTCCCATTTTTAAGTGAGAACATGTGATATTTGTTTTTTTTTTTTGTTCCTGAGTTACTTTCCTTAGGATAATGGCCTCCAATTCATCCAAGTTGCTGCAAAATACATTATTGCATTCTTTTTGTGCAGCTGAGTGGTATTTCATGGTGTATATTTACCGCATTTTCTTTATCCATTCATTGGTTGGTGGGTACTTAGGTTGACTCCGTATCTTTGCAATTGTGAATTGTGCTATGATAAACACGTATGTTAGGTGTCCTTTTGATATAGTGACTTCTCCTTTGGAAGATTCCTCAAATAACTAAATGAGCTCTACAATTTGATTCAGATTTTTTTTTTAGAGATGAGGGGGTCTCACTATGTTGCCCTGGCAGGTCTCGAACTTCTGGGCTCAAGCGATC